TGGTAGCCCCAAGTCTCCATTCGTGCATAGGGGTGGTTGCGTCTCGATAGCTATAAGGGTGCGGGAGATATGAGGCTGAAAGTGGTTGAAAGTGGCTTTCTATTTCGAATGTTTTGTTCGAATTTGTTCGAATTAAATTCGAACATAAAATTCGAATATTGTTTTGATTATAGAACGATTGTAAATGTTCCAGAAATGTTGAAAATAGTTCGTTTGACTAAACGCAAAAATTCTCTAATTAGTCTTGAAACGGGGAACCTAATTCTTGCATTCTGTGAAAACGGGTAAGATTAGCCATAATGTAATTATCTTAATCTTCACTATCGTTACTTTTTGCCCAGCGAAGTGGGTCCTTGCAGCTAGATTCTAGATTATTTAGAAAAACAGTCTTTTATATATATAAAAAAACTATATTACATACAAATGTACGAACAAATAAAAACCCAGCAAAGCGGGTCCTCGCAGCTAGTAAATAAATAAAAATGTTAATGGTTGAAGAGAGTAGTGGTAGGGGGAGGTGGGTTAAGTAGTTTTAGCATTAGGAGGAAGGTCACATGATCGTATAGAAACAGGTTAAAAGTTGATAGTGAGTAATATTATTGGTGAGGTTGAGCATGTTTTGACATGTTATCTGGGATACTAGAATAAATATAAACAACCTGCTGATGGATTAGATCATGTTTCAACAAACTAAATAAGTTCAGTATCTCGCTGGCCATCTAATGCCACACTCAGTTTATGTCCAGCTACTGTGCTTGTATTTTTATTTCTGGAATATGGCTCACAGAGGTTGTGTAATTTCTCCCGAAAGCTTCTGTTATGTTTGTGGTGAATACACAGTGAAAAGTCAACAAAGAAACATAAGTGAGTTTGTGAAGAAAGTTTAATTTGTGTATTTCAAATTGAAACTTGGAGATCAAGACAAAGCAGATTTTCGGAAACAATGGGAGAAAAGGAAAAAGAAGCATGGGACTTTTTCAAGAATGTAGTGAGTAAGTTTTTAGGGAATACTAAGGACCCTGACTACAAAACCTTTGTACAATGCATGCTGGCAGCAACGTATGAAGCTCAAGGATGCAAGATGAGCTTAAAAGTTCATTTCTTACACTCCCATATTGATTATTTTCCCAAAAACTTGGGAGCCTACAATGAAGAACAGGGTGAAAGATTTCACCGGGATATCCGTGATGTCGAGAGACGTTACCAAGGAAAATGGGATGTCAATATGTTAGCTGACTACTGTTGGATGTTCAATTGAGAAACCAGAGAAAGAAATCAAAAACAAGTTTGGAGAAGCATCAAAAAGAAGAAGAAAAGGTTTCATAAGAAAAAAGAGTAGACCTAAAATTGTGTATAAATATAAGAAACAATTTGTTGATTATTTTTAAGAAAATATAATATATTTAGTTCATTGTAATAAATAAGAGTTTTTATCAAAAATTTGTTTCTATTTTGCAAAAAATCTTTACATGATGGGATGTAATAAAAGTTATTTTTAGAATCTGCGATCTTTAAAACATATAATTCAGCAAAAATTTTCCTTGCAGCTGGAAAAAAATTTTTTGTGCAGACCTGTGTTATCAACATTCTGAAAACAAACAATGTATTATCAACTAGCATTTATTTATTACTTTTTCCAACAGATAGCGCTATATATAAAGGATGCAGAATCTAGCAAAGGACATGCAAAAGACCAGAAAACGAGAAACTACAAGTTTCTCATTTTCTGGTCCTTTGCTTGTCCTGGGATTTCAAGAAAGTGATCTGTTTCCCAGAATATTGGGATTTAATTAATTATTTTTAAGATATAAAATAAATCTTGAAATTGAATGTTATAATTATTTTTCATTTTTAAGTAATTTAATACATCCTGCAACCTTCAAAATGAAAATAATAATAATAATAACTCTCCCGTGGTCACCACCTGGTCGTGGTGGGAGAGCCCAGTAGTTTTACAGATCCATAGGGCAATGCAGGCTGGAGC